TGCAGACGCTTCACATGGACGTGTGGGGCCCTGCCCGCGTCCGTGGACTCGGTCACGAGCGCTACTTCCTGTTGGTGGTTCACGACTACTCGCGTTACACCGCGGTCTTCCCCTTGCGCAGCAAGGGTGATGTCACTGAGGTGCTGATCGACTGGATCCGCGCAGCTCGTCTCCAGCTCAGGCAGAGCTTTGGCTCAGACTTCCCTCTGTTGCGTCTGCACTCGGACAGAGGCGGAGAGTTCTCCTCTGGCCTTCTGCGTGCCTAGTGTCGTGCGCGAGGCATCCGTCAGACCTTCACGCTTCCGGACTCACCGCAGCAAAATGGGATTGCAGAGCGCCGCATTGGCATGGTCATGGACGTCGCTCGTACGTCTATGATGCATGCGGCTGCCCCTCATTTTCTGTGGCCATTTGCGGTCAGGTACGCGGCGCATCAGATTAACCTCCACCCCAGGGTCTCCAGGCCGGAGACCTCCCCAGCCCTGCTGTGGACGGGGAAGGTTGGCGATGCGTCGGCGTTCCGGGTCTGGGGATCTCGGGCGTTTGTCCGCGACTTGTCTGCGGACAAGGTGTCCCTTCGCGGTGCTCCCTGCGTCTTCCTGGGGTTCCCCCCCGACGCCCCTGGGTGGCAGTTCTACCACCCCACCTCTCGCCGTGTTCTGTCCTCCCAGGACGTCACGTTCGACGAGTCCGTCCCCTTCTACCGCCTCTTCCCCTACCGCACTCCTTCCCTCCCGCCGCCACCGCACTTCCTTGTGCCAGGTCCCACCCCGGTAGACCCCCTTCCCCCTCAGGGTCCTGCCCCTTCAGGTGTGTCCCAGGTAGATGCAGTGGAGCCGGTCGAGGTTGCTGGTGACTCAGGTACTGCTGGGGGTGCTGAGCCTGGAGGTGCTGAGCCTGGGGGTGCTGAGTCTGGGGGTGCTGAGCCTGGGGGTGTTGAGCCTGGGGGTGCTGCGACTGGGGGTGCTGAGCCTGGGGGTGCTGACTCTGAGGGTGCTGCGCGCGTGGGTGCTGCGCCTGGGGGTGCTGAGCCTGGGGAAGCTGCGTCTGGAGCTGCTGAGCCTTGAGGTGTGGAGCCTGCGGCCACTGGACCTCCCCTTGTGGCGTCTGGCGGTACTGGGCCTGGAGGTTCTCCGGGTGTTTCGTCTCGGCGGGAGCCACTCTCTCCACAGGAGATGCGTGAGTGGTTTGCTCGCCACTGGAGGCGTACTTCTGGAGCTGGCGCTTCTTCGCCCGCTGAGGGTGCTGGTGCCGCCGGTCCCGGAGCTACTGGGCCTGCGGGTCCGCCTAGAGCTGGAGCTGCTGAGGGTGTTGGTTCTGAGACTACTACTGTCCGTCCTGGTGGTGGTCGTGCTCCGGGTGCTGCTGATGCTGCTGGAGGTCCTGCCGCTGGAGGTGCTGTTGGCGCTGGTGCTGCCGGAGGTGCTGAGGGTGCTGGTGCTGTCCCTGCTGTGTCTGGTGCCGCCGCGCGGCCTCGGCCGTACTTCGTTCCGCTACTTCAGCAGGTTCTTGGTCTTCCTCCTCTCTTAGAGGGTCCACCGCCTGTCCAGTCGCAGTCACAGTTACCGCCGGCCTCCCCACTGCCTTCTCCCTCTCCCTACACTAGTCCTACTGGAGGTCTCGCTGAGCGTCGTGAGCCTGCGTCTCATCCTGCGTCGCCTGTTCGTGCTGCTCGCACCAGTGGTCGTAGTTCGCGTCAGCGTCCTCCTCCTGTCCCTGGCACGCACCGGATGTCTCTGCATCCGTCCACTGCTCCTCTGCGTGCCCCTTTGCCCTCTCTTCCTGAGTCCTCTCTTCCTTCGCTTGCCGACCCTGAGTCGGACTCTCTTCATGCTGCCAGTCCTACTGTCACGCGTCTCCTTACTACTGTCGTCACTGACCCCTCCTTTGAGTCCACTGCTGCGTCTGCTCTTGTTGCTGAGCTCGTCGACTTTGCTGCTCGCTGTCGTCTAGACTACGCTGCTAGTCTTGTTGCTGAGTCTGCGTCTGTCTGTCCTCCGTCCGTCGGGGGTGAGTGTGCTCTTGGCACGGACGTCCTTGAGGACAGGCAGGAGGAGTTCCAGTGTCTGGCTGCTGCTTCACCTCATCTCGCGTCTGTACTGCTTGCCCCTGAGGGAGACCCGGATGCACTAGACATCCCGACTCCGCGCACTTACGCGGAGGCCGTAGAGGGTCCCTATTCCTCTCAGTGGCAGGCAGCTATGGATGCAGAGATGGCTTCCTGGAAGTCCACAGGCACCTACGTCGACGCTGTTCCCCCTCCTGGGGCGAACATCGTCAGTGGGATGTGAATCTTCAGGGTGAAGCGGCCGCCGGGCTCTCCACCTGTCTTCAAGGCGCGGTACGTGGCTCGTGGCTTCAGACAGCGGCAGGGAGTTGACTACTTTCAGACCTTCTCTCCCACCCCGAAGATGACAACTCTTCGGGTGCTGCTGCACATAGCCGCTCAGCGCGACTACGAGCTCCACTCTCTTGAGTTCAGCACTGCTTTCTTGCAGGGTAGCCTGCACGAGGAGATCTGGCTTCGCCGTCCACCTGGCTTCACTGGGACTTTCCCTCCTGGCACCCAGTGGAGCCTCCGATGGCCACTCTACGGTCTCCGCCAAGCACTGCGTGAGTGGCACGACACACTGAGGACTACGCTTGCGGCTCTTGGGTTTGCTCCCTCTACTGCTGACCCGTCGTTGTTTCTGCGCACCGACACTTCTCTGCCGCCGTTCTACATCCTCGTGTACGTCGACGACTTGGTCTTTGCCACAGCGGACACTGCTGGACTCGCCTACGTGAAGTCCGAGCTGCAGAAGAGACACACGTGCACAGACCTGGGTGAACTGCGCAGCTACCTTGGCTTGCAGATCACTCGGGACAGAGCACGCCGCACCATTACCTTGACTCAGTCACACATGGTGCAGCAGGTCCTTCAGCGCTTTGGGTTCACGTACTCCTCGCCTCAGGCCACTCCTCTGTCTTCTCGCCACTCGCTCTGAGCTCTGCCTTCGGATGAGTCCGTAGAGTCGAGTGGCCCGTACCCAGAGCTTGTTGGCTGCCTCATGTACCTGATGACCTGCACACGACCTGACCTTGCATACCCTCTTAGCATCTTGGCACGCTATTTTGCTCCTGGGAGACACCGACCAGAGCACATGGCTGCAGTGAAGAGGGTGTTGCGCTACTTGCGCAGTACGTCGGGCATGGGGCTAGTGCTTGGAGGGCGGAGTCCAGTGGTCCTCACTGGGCACGCGGACGCTTCTTGGGCTGACGACCAGGCTACGCAGCGGTCGTCGCAAGGTTACACCTTCAGTCTTGGTTCCGGCTCTGTTTCGTGGCGGGCTACTCGCTCGTCTTCGGTTCTCGGCTCCAGTTGTGAGGCTGAGATCTACGCCGGGGCCATGGCTGCTCAGGAGCTTCGCTGGCTCACCTACCTGCTGACTGACCTTGGAGAGCCGCCTCGTTCTCCTCCAGTGCTGTACGTAGACAACAAGGCCATGCTGGCCTTGTGTCGAGAGCAGCGCCTGGAGCAAAGAATGAAGCACATTGCTCTCCGCTACTTTCTTGCTCGTGAGCTGCAGCAGCGTGGTCAGTTGCGACTTGCTTACGTGGCCTCTGAGGCCAACACTGCTGATGTTTTCACCAAGGCACTTCCGCCTTGTGATCATCAGCGTTTCTGTACTCAGCTGGGACTTGTCCGAGTCTTGCCTCACTTGCTCACCTCTTGACCTTACTTGTACTCTTGCATATATATATACCTGCTCTTGCTTGTTTAGACTTATATATATATGTCTCCTCCTGCATGTGAACTGGCCTTGTGGCCTTGATCTTGTGCTCAGACTGTGTGGTGACGTTGTGATCCACCCTGAGCTTGCTTTGCTTTGCTTTACTTGACTGGTCTTGTGACCCCTTGTTCTCCCCCACTTTGCTTATGGGGGTGTGTCAGAATATTATAGCTTATGCTTTTGTGTAGGCTATAGTGGGGTATCCCATAGGGGGTACAACCCAATTAGGGTTAGTACTTGTACCCACTTCACTCATAGTTCATTCATTCTCGTTCTATTCTTAACACGTGGCAGTGGCTACGCGCGAGCCGCAGCGGAGCCCGACAGCAGCGGTGCGTGGGGCAATGGCAGCAACGGCGCGCTGGGCAAGGGCAACGACGGCGCGCCGGATAGCGACGGCACGCGGGGCAGGGGCGGCACGCGAGCAGCGGCGGCGCCAGGCAGCAGTGGCGCGCGGGCAGCGGGAGCGCGTGGGCACGGGCAGCAGAGGCGTGCATGGGGCGGCGCAAAGAGCTGCGCGCGACTCGCACAGTTGTTCGGAGTAGCGCGTGGCACACGCGGCAGCGCGGGGGGCGCGTAAAAGTACGAGGCGCGCAAAGAGCAGCGCGCTAGGGGCAGCTTGGGGAAGTGTGCGTGTGGGGTAGTACGGGGCAGTAAATACGGCGATTGGACCTAACATATTCTCGGATACCCTGTTAAAGCTCGTGTCTAAGATTTCCTAGCGTTTAACACTTGGTTGGGTTCCCCCTACCATGATAGGGTAACGAATGACGAAACATTTGACGAGCTGGTGAAAAAAACACAGCGAACTCCGCTGTGTTCAAGGCCAAACCAAACCAGGGCTGGCAGGTTTGGGTGGAAGTCAAGCCTTGGGGGACAGGTTTGGCCTTGATTGGGAACTGAACGACCACCACCTCCCCCCCCCCATGTCGCACGTGTACATAACTGAAGTACCACAAAATGAGTGCTACCTCGTTCCTTTCCACACTCCCGTCACCGAGCAGTAGGACCACCGGAACAAAAACAAGGTAAGCATTCATACCCCGATCCTATTAGGGACGGGCTGAATTAGATTAGGGAAAGGCGAGGTAAGCGTGATGATGGGCGGGATGAGGTTGGAAAGAGGAATGCGATAATAAATGGCGAAATGAGTGCGTGAAGTGCGGAACGAAAATAAGAAGGGCGTAACGACAGGACGAAGGGCGGAGCGATAGCGTGAGAGGCAGAATGGAAGGAAGAAGGGCAGATCGATACTCCCCCTATAATCACTACTCCCTTGTCCCTTTCACAGCAACCCCCTTCCTCCTCTCACAGCACCTACCTTCCCCCTCTCTCAGCACCTCCCTTCCCCCTATCTCAGCACCTCCCTTCCCCCTTTCACAGCAACCCCCTTCCCCCTTTCACAGCACCTCCCTTCCCCCTCTCTCAGCACCTCCCTTCCCCCTATCACAGCAACTCCCTTCCCCGTCTCATAGCACCTCCTTTCCCTCTCTCACAGCACCTACCTTCCCCCTCTCTCAGCACCTCCTTTCCCCCTATCTCAGCACCTCCCTTCCCCCTATCACAGCAACTCCCTTCCCCCTTTCACAGCGACCCCCTTCCCCCGCTCACAGCACCTCCTTTCCCCCTCTCTCAGCATACTCCCTTCCCCCTATCACAGCACCTTGCTTCCCCCTCTCTCAGCACCGCCCTTCCCCCTATAATCAAAACTCCCTTCTCCCTTTCACAGCACCCCCCTTCACCCTCTCACAGCACCTCGTTTCCCCCTCTCTCAGCACCTCCCTTCCTTCTATAATCAAAAACTCCCTTCTCCCTTTCACAGCAACCCCCTTCCCCCTCTCACAGCACCTACCTTCCCCCTCTCTCAGCACCTCACTTCCCCCTATCACAGCAACTCCCTTCTCCCTTTCACAGCAACCCCCTTCCCCCTCTCTCAGCTCCTCCTTTCCCCTTCTCTCAGCACCTCCCTTCCCCCTATAAACAAAACTCCCTTCTCCCTTTCACAGCAACCCCCTTCCTCCTCTCACAGCACCTCCTTTCCCCCTCTCTCAGCAACCCCCTTCCCCCTCCTTACAGCACCTCCTTTCCCACCCTCACAGCACATGTTGCACACTGAACAGCACCTTCTCTCCCCTGTCTCAGCATTGCCGTCCCCCCTCTGACCACACCTTCATCTCCCCCTCCCCTCGCCTACCTTTCCCACGTGACCTCATCTCCCTTACCCCTCACTAAGCACCTATTGCCAGTCAATCCACCATGCAAGCTGCCAATGTATACTCATTCCGCCGTGTAATATCTTTCCGCCCCACATTCGACTGTGTACTATCGTTTCGCCACTCATTTCGCTGTGTACTATCGTTCCGCCTCTCATTCCGCCGTGTACTATCGTTCCGCCTCTCATTCCGCCGTGTACTATCGTTCCGCCACTCATTCCGCCGTGTAATATCGTTCCGCCACCTATTCCGCCGTGTACTATCGTTCCGCCTCTCATTCCGCTGTGTACTATCATTCCGCAACTCATTCCGCTGTGTACTATCTGTCAACGGGAGTTGTGTGTTGGCCCCGTCCACGCTTGGGCGGAGCCGACTTCGTGGTGGGGTGTACGGAAGGTACAGCCGACTTGCAAGGTCGCCGACTTGGGAGGTCGCCAACTTCAAGAGGTCAGTCTGGAAGTCGGCGCCGACGTAGAAGGGGCGTCGACCTGGTGACGCCGACTTGGGTAGCTGACAACTGCACTGGTCGACCAGGAGTGACGTCGACCTGGATCTGGTCGACCGGAGGAGTGGTCGACCTGGTGAGGTCGACCTGGTGTGGTTGTCGACTTGGGAGGTCGACGAGCACATACAGGAGCAGCTGGTCGACATAGTTGCCCGGTCGACCAGGATACGTGGGTGACGAGTTTCTGCGAAGGAGTGCGACGGTCACCCAGGCGAAGTTGGCGAGACCGACCTCCATGGTGGTATCCCGAGGTCGTCGTGGCGGATCAGAGGCAGTCGCTAGCCCGAGGTTGACGTGGTGTGTGCGCTGTGCAGGTGACGAGACTTTGCATGCCAATCATCTGCGCGCACCTGCAAAGCGGGTGCACTGCTGTCCTGCGTGAGCAATGCTGGCACACCGTCAACCTGCAGCGTTGGCAAGCTGTCGACTTTGCACTGCTGTAGCGTGGTCGACCAAGTCGTGCTGGAACGCGGTCGACCATGCTGTGCTGGCAGTCGACCAACCTGAATGCTAGCTCTGATGTAGTCTTGCATTGCCAACTTCATTGGACTATTATTGACAACTTTCTCTAGTGAAACTCTTGCCAAATTGCCCCGTGAACTAGCAACCAGTGTGAGCACTAGGAAAACGTCTAAGGACCAACGAACGCAGACATCACACGAGCACACGTGCCTAGCCAGTACTCTAAGCTCCCGTTGTAGTAGTTATCTTCTCATGGTGCGGTGAGCGTGGATCGAACACGCGACGTAGTTCAGTCTAGCCGACTTAGCACATACCGATCGTGTTCGTAGACCGGCAGCCGTGAAGTCACTAGCGTGCGCGTAGGCGACGCCGAGGTGATGGACACCCTGGAGGGACGGCTGGAGGATGCGAGGAGACGCCATGAGGCCCAGGAGTATGGGGCGATACCCTGGGCAGTCGTCGAGGCCGGACTCCGCTCCGTGTGGGCGGCGGAGCATCCCCCTTCTCGACCTGCCTCTCCTCAACCGGTGAACAACGACGGCGGCGTCGATGTGGGTGTCAACGCCGGTGGAGGTCAGGTCGGCAGCAGTGTGGGAGGCACGTCGAGGCAACGAGGTGTGATACACGCCGGTGAAGCCGGCGGCGTTCAGGCGAGAGGGATGCAGTCGTCGGTGGCTGCAGGCTCCTCACATGGTGACGGCGGTGGGCGTCGAAGTGGGCTGTCGCCGATGACGGCGTCCCAGGTGACGGTAGGTGGGATTGCACCGAGCTACGGCTACTTCAAGTTTACGCCGGACAGGATCTCGGTCACCCCTCCGCTGGTCGGTCGACCCGACATTCTCACCTGGAAGGAAGCCATCGAGCCCCAGCTGGAGATGGCCGGGCTGATCAGCTTCGCCCGAGGGACCGTGGCGACGCCGAGTGAGCACCACCCCAACCTGCGTGCGGAGTTTCGCGCCGTGCAGCTGTTGACCTTCACGGTCATCTCGCGGTGTTGCTCGCCGGGCGTGCAGATCGCCTTGAAGTGGTGCCGGGAGTACCTCGACGCTGGCCACCGGGCGTGGCACTTCATTGAGTCGACGTACCAGGTCACCGACGACCTGTTCATCGCACAGCTGGAGGGACAACTGACACACCTGCGTATGGGCGACGAGGAGAGTGCGACCGACTACTGCAACCGAGCCAGGCGAATTCTCGCCACCATCAGGATGGCCGGCGCGCAGTACTCCACGGCGTCGTACATCACCCATGTCATGCAGGGTCTCTCTAGCAGCTACAACCTGCTGAAGCGGCTGTCTATGGCGCCGAGCACAAGGGCGATGCTCAACGAGGACAACCTGACCTCATACATCCTGCAGGACGAGGCGATGCAGGAGGCTGAGCGATCGCAGGAGCTCTTGGCGCAGGCCAACTTTGTCGCCCCTGCGAAACAAGGAGGCCGACCAGGACAGCGCGGACAGTCTGGTGGCGGCGGGAGCGGTAGCTGGAAGTCGACCAAGGAGGTCGAGAAGAAGTCGACCAAGGACGGCGGTCGAGGAGAAGGAGGTCGACGTCGGGAGTGCTGGATCTGCCACAGCCCCGATCACCTCTCCTTCGATTGTCCCGACCGCAGTGACTCCGACGACGACGACAAGGGCGGCCGCGGGAGGTCTGGCAGCCGTCGTCCTCGTCGTGGAGGAAATCATCCGTGCAAGGAGAAACAGTCGACCAAGGCATCGACTTCGGCGAAGGACGCCGACTCCGTTGCAGGCGGCAAGGGGCGAGACGACAAAATGGCGTCGTGCTCGCTGGTCGGCGTCGTGGAGCCGACCATCTCTCTGGCGCCGGAGGCCGGAGAGGACTTCCAGGCGGTGGCGGCGGCTGTGCAGGCGAACCCGGCGGTGGTCCTGCTCGACAGCGGTTGCTCCCACCACCTGATGGGAACGAAGGAAGCCTTCGTTGACCTGCAGCCGAGTGGCTCCATCAAGCACGTGCGCGGCTTCAATGGGGCGCTGCAGGACGTTCAGGGCAGCGGCACCGTCGCCCTGCAAGGGGAGGCCGGGAAGCAGGTGCTTATCCCCGACGTGTTGTACGTCCCGGGTGTGCGGGCGAACTTGCTGTCGTCCGGCCAGCTTAAGGAGCACGGCGTGAAGCTGCAAGAGGACGGCGACGGGATGGTGCTCGTCTCGGCAACGGGAGAGGTGCTCGGTCGGGCGACGTACTCCGGGCGTGTCCTCTGCACCGACCTGCGTCCCTGCTCAACGAGGTCGACGTCGCCCACGACGGAGGTTGTGGCTCTGCGGGCGATCGTCTCGAAGACGAAGTCGACGCCGGACCGTATGCATGCCCGGCTTGCACATGTCGGCATGGACACCATACGGAGCTCGGCGAAGAACGAGGTCGCCATTGGGCTGGACCCCAAGTCGGCGACGGGCGCCGACTCCCCGTGTGTCTCGTGCGTCGGCGGGAAGCTGGCGCGGCACACCTTCCCCGACCAAGGCTCCGACGCCGACGATGTGCTGGCCGTCGTGCACATCGACCTGTGCGGGCCCTTCAGCGTGGCTGCCAAGGATGGCAGCCTGTACTTCTTGTTGCTGAAGGACCGCAAGACCCGCTACGTGTGGGTGAAGCCGGTCACCAAGAAGTCAGATGCGTTGCCGGCGTTCGTGTAGTGGCTGGCAGTGGCTGAGCGGCAGACGAAGAGGTCGGTGTTAATGCTGCGCTCTGACCGGGGAGGGGAGTTCCTCAGGAAGCAGTTCACCGACTTCGTGAACGGCAAGGGGATCATCCACGACCTGACCTGCCCATACACCCCGCAGCAGAACGGCATGGCGGAGCGGGAGATGAGGACGGTGGTGGAGTCGGTGCGGACAATGCTGCTGCACATGGGCGTGCAGCACCACTGGTGGCACCTCGCTCTCCGGCAGGCCGTCTGGGTCCGCAACTGCCTTGAGAGGTCGGCGCTGCCGCCGGGGACGACGCCGTACCAACTGCTGACCGGGAAGAAGCCCGACTTGTCGCTGGCACGGGTGTGGGGCTGCATGGCGCAGTTCTTAGTCACCGAGCAGCAGCGTGGTGGGAAGCTGCAGCCGAAGGCCAGGTGGGGCCTGCACCTTGGCGTGTCGGCGGCGAGCAAGGGCTGGGAGCTCCTCGACGTCGACGCCGACCGGGTGGTCACCACGTCGGATGTGGTGTTCTACGAGGAGCTGTCGCTGGCCGAGTGGAAGACGGAGTACGGGTCGGTGTCCGGCCGCTCGTCGCCCACCCCGCCCTCTGACACCTCGTCGGCGACGTTGCCACTGCTTGCCGAGGTCGGTGAGCTTGCTATTACGGACGTCGAGGACGTCCGCCCCCCTACCCCTCCCCCTCCGACCCCTGCCCCTCCCCTCGTGGCCGACCTGCGTGGGCTGACCTCGGTGTCGGCCTCCGGCGATGAGGGGAGTAGTGGGACGTCGCCTTCGGCCAAGTGCATCGCCGGTGGCCGACGTGACGAGCGGCAGGTCGACGTGGGATTGCAGTCGACGTCGACAGGGGAGGAGCAGGTCGAGAATCAGGTCGAGGACCAGCGGCCGACAAAAGAGCAGGCAGCAGTGACGCCGACCAAGGAGCAGTCGGCGACCGGGCAGTCAGCAGGGGAGCCGACCATAGGGGAGAAGTCGGCTGGGACGCCGGCTGAGGAGCAGCAGGACGCCGAGGGCAGCGACAACAGCAACGATGGAGGGGACGCCGAGGAGGTCCAGCCAAGACCACGGCGTTCAGGCCGACTTCGGAGACCGCCTGACTTCTTCGTCCCCGCTGCCTTCACCACGGTGTACGACGTGGACGATGAGGCCGACGACCTGCTGTACGACGATGCCGAGGAGGATGAGGAGTTTCCAGAGCTCGACCCCGACATGCTAGCCGACCCCGAGCACCGTTGGGACATCTCGACGATGACGGTGAAGGAGGCGTTGGCGA